TTTCATCCAGGACAATATCTCCTGGCGTCTTCTGGTGGCCAGGATCCTAATTTCGTAAAATTTATGTAACAGCCAGCCTTTGTTTTATAAATTAAGGCGGGTGTCAGTGATGGTGCCAGGAGGACGCGCTGGGTCTTCATACAAAGGACACACCACTTTGTTCTGGGTGAAGTGCAGCCTCCCTGTCCTTCTCCTTCTCTGCTCGAGCTGCAGCTTTCCTCATATTCATAAATTAAAATTATTGATGAGCTGTACATTCTATTTCTGTGAGGTTTCCAGACTGACTCAAAGCTGGTGCAAATGTCGCACTGCTCTTTTTTGGTTGAAAGAAAACCCAAATTGTTTTTCTTGAAGTTTTGGCAGAACACTTGATAGCTCAATGTTTTTTTTCTGTCTCTCTGCTCATTTCTCCATGTATACTCGATGCATATCTGAAGTTTTCTGGACTGTCATCTGTAGACAGGAGGATTTCTTCCTAAGTTTGTCCAAAATTACTCTTTATGGAACAACTTGTCATCCTTGACTCTCTCGTGGTGGGCATGATGTGTTCTTGTGGGGGGGGGGGGGGGGGGGGCTCTTGTTCTTTTTCGGAGAAGACACTTTAAATAAACCAGTGGGTCAGGCCTGCAGTGTTCGTGAAGATTGGTTTACAAACAGGTGTTCTTTGACCATTTACTCTTTTAAGTGGTATTGAAGGGTGTAATTTCTCCTTGGGTTTACACTTGCTGTGTAAGATCACTTTTTGTCTATCCTGTTTATCATGGCATACACGTAGGCTCTCTTTTCTTTCTAAGAGAGTGAGCAGTAATGTCATTGCATTTTGTACCAACCAGTTTACAACTGCAAAGGACGTTAAGTTCACACCCTGCTCGCTTTGTGCCTTGACAGGTGTAGAGGCATTCCCAGTTCTTTCAACCTCTTCCTTTTGTTACCCTTCCTATCGTTTTCATGCCGTGTCCTTTTTGCAGAGATCAATGGTGACAAAACTGTTGCATTATCAGCTGATGTGACATTAGCTTGGTAATGTTGATCACTTTCCACTGCGCTGAGGGTCAGAGGTGACGCAGCAAGAGTAGCATCATCTTATGGAATGTTATTGCGTTACGTAAGTTAAGGTTTGACATAAGGATAAAGCATTATGTTATGACACTGAGAAAATAATCTAAACAAAACACAAACGAAATGAACTTTCTAAGAAAGTCGAAAGATGTTTCAGAAGGTAATGACTGCAAAAAACACTGCAAATGAAGAAAGAAGCACTTAAAAAAAAACATTGAACGTTAGGGGCTGACGGTGTGCTGGACAGGTCCCACATTTTTTCTTTGGAGTGAGTTAGTAAAGAATGAAATTCTATCGACTTCGTCCATTCAATTGCGATGGAAAAAATGATTAGGAGAAGACACATTAGTCCGAATAAGGGAAAATGCCTTCACAATTCGGTGACTTTCCAGTACACGTGGACAGAATAAATAGTTTCATATAAAACAAAATCCATGAAGATGCATTTGAAATACCAGCATTGTCACGAGATAAACAGTTTTGTGGAAACAGTGGGGAGTTTTAGTCATTAATAACAGTATCAGCAGTAATACAACGAAGAAAAAAGAGGAAACAACAAGATCTATTTAACTCCCCAATGAAACCAACAAGACATATTACTCAAATATTCCTTTTTTTTGAGAGCTCCCACGGTTAAGTGAGCGAATTCTGGACTATTACAGGTCTGAATCTGATGTCAAACGAAGTCCAAAGAGGAGTCGAAGCCGGGGTTAGTCGGTAACGTAGCAAGTGGCCCTTCATTGTTAGCGCGACAAAAACAGCCAACCCTCATTCCCTCCCTCGCAGGTGAGATAGTCGGAATTATCGGGCTAAAATCCGATGGGTGCCGGGTTATACGGTTTTATTTCTGATGTTATAAAGGCATTTCTACACAAAATTATGATCTGTCTTTGAGTGAGCATATGAAATGTTGAAATTTTGTGGGTTAGTCGGTTTTATCACTAGGCCGACGATATTTTGTTTTTGTAGGGTTTTTTTTTTGGGGGGGGGGGGGGGGGGGGAGGGCAAGAAATTTTCCGAAATCGCAAATGTTTGGACAGTCTTACTTGTGCCATCCTTGTGAAACACGGTCAGCTTTGAGTACCTATTCTTGCTTAACCTACCTATAGATATCATATCCGACCTACAAGTGCCCCGTTTAACAGCTTTAAACCAGCACAAAGATGACACATGAAGTTTGTATGTAGCTCATGTTATAAAGTGGGACATGGCAGTGGAGAAAGGCTGTCGATTGGCTGTTTAGTCTGGTTCTATGTCGACTCGACCGTGAACAGTCGTCCTGATTTCGATATAAAGCTGGCCCACTGCTCGCACTACTGGTGTTGTTTGCGGCCTCCCTCGACGTTCCAGCTTACTCTGTGTGCCATAACGGGGCTTTAAATCCATACCGAACCGAACAGAGGCATCGCCTGCCAGATTTTACCGTTGCGATTTTACTTTATACATGTACTAGATCTACGCTGCAGCTGACACGAGCGAGATTTGTTGAGAGGCGGAATACGTGAGAAGAATATATACGACCTCCATATTAATACGGTAAGTCATTGCAGATACCACCCTTCTGACTAGTAATTTCAGTTGAATGTTACGGTTTCCTCATGAAACAAGCTTATTCAAGCCAAGCTATATCTACAAGCGAGGTGGTTATTAGAAAAATTATAATTGAGAAGTGTAAGAGAATGTGAACATTTTTGTCAGTTTGAAAACATTTAATTACAATAAATACATTTTGAAATCTTCTATGGCATCAGCATTCTCTTCAACGTCTATTTTTTTTTATTCCTTCTCGCCTCTTGTTTGTTTTTGTTTTTGTAAAGTGTTTTACCGCGCTCGCAACTGCATAAGGGCATATGAGCGCGCGGGTCACACGTAATATTTTTTAGTTTGTAGGAAATTTTTGAATTTTGCCCGGGTGGCGGCCGAAGCCTACTCTTATCGATTTAAAACCATCAAGGGATCTTTAACGTGCGCAACTTGCACACGGGCCCTCCCAGATTTTTCGCCCTTGTCCGAGAAGGCTAGGTGTAGATCTTTCCTACCAGAAGATCAGGGGTGTGGCAGAAAGACAGCAGTAAGGAGGAGCCAAGGAGTAGCAGTAGAAAGGCTGCAGAAAGAGTCAGGAGCCCAGAGGAGGGGGCAAAGGAGGTGAGGAGGTGGGGGCAGAAAGTGGAAATGAAAGCAGACAGTAGGAAAGCTAGAGAGGAGGAAAGGAGGTGAAAGGAGTCAATTTTAGAGAAGAAAATGTTTCGGTCGCTACCCGGATTCGAACCCGAGACCTTTGAATGAGAGGCCAACACCTTAACCTCTAAGCCACGAGAGCCCCCTTCTCGCCTCTGCCCGGAGCCACCATGATACCGTGAAGAGAATTGTTTTTATTTACTACTATATTCCCCTAACTGAAGGTATGCAGCAACAACAAACTTTTAACTGGTGCTGGCCTAATGTTACACCATTACGCTGATGCCAACCGACAAAAGCGTAACAAACACACCACCAACAAACAGTCATTAATATTCAGAACAGTTTTTTAACAACAGATACAACGAACAACAACAAAATAATTGTTACGGTCCTACTAACAGGGTGAATATTATCCAACTTCTTGTGCGCGCGCGCGTGCGTGTGTGTGTGTGTGTGTG